GGTTGTAAAAGTCTTTGACTGAGTGAACTGCGTGTCAGTTTGACTTTTCCAGGCTCTGAAGAAGGCGAAACCGCCGGAACGTCGGCTGTTATGAACGAATACATGCTGTAATAACAAACTTTGCTCATGAAGAAAACATTGAATTATTGATCACTGTCGAGGCCAGACGAAAGTGAATCCTAGGAATTCTGGGATAGTTTCGTACTGGGTGTCACCAAAACTATTTCTTTTAAAGAAGCTAGGTGTTCATCAGTAGGCTTCTACATAGTGTGTCCCATTTTCAATTCGTATTCTTGTAACCTATCGAGGTGAGGGGTCCTTTCGATGGTATAAACACTGTGCTCAAATAGATTTATTTCAAAACCTGCAATTCTAACAGTTTGTACTTTTTACATAGCATTTAAATCTTTACAACCTTAAACCTTTACAATTAGCAGCTTTTACGTACAATTCACACCATTTACAATTTAGCTGTGGATGCTTACATTTGGTAGAAACTCTGACCCAAAACAATTCACACACAACACTTGACGCCAAATCGGCACCAGTCCTTAAGAGTTTCCCTTGGCTGTATGTTTAGACAACTTTCCGTCTTCTCTAATTGGTTGAAGTGTCTTGTACATCGCTGTTTTCTGTTTTTTGTTTCCTCTCCTGGAAGTCTGCTATGCCTTCGTTCTCCTGGTTGAACATCGTTTTTTTCTGTTTTCTTCTCAAGCAGATACGAGGTTGCTAGTAACAACATTTATTCCATAGTGGCCGACGTTTCGGTGATTTCACCTTTTTCAGAACCTAAATTGAATTTATGTGTTGAGGTTTTTTCCTAGTTTCTTTTCCTGCTTTTTTTTTTCCTGTTTTCCTTCCCTCAAAGTGTTTAGCGTGTTATTCTGACCCTTCCAGGCTCTCAAGAAGACGAAACATCATGGTAATGTTACTCTTATTTTTGCATTTCAGCCCCTTTATCTGTTGGTTTTCGCTTCCTACTTCTGGTCGATGGCGCGCTCATGGAGCCCTCTTCTGTTCTTTCTACATGTGTCAATGGGATGTGTTCCTCTGTAGAAGTCCATCATATCAGAAGATACACGTATGATACTAACTATTGGTGATCAGATATTTTCCTTGGTCCAACAAATCAATCATGAGTTACATCACACTTGTTATAGCCACACCTCTGGTTATGGATATATTCCTATCAATATACACAATAATCGTGGTTTTATAGTCGCTTTTAGTGTACAACTTGAATGCCTTGATACTATATTTGTGTTACTTATGTCACATGTATTGCCGGAACGCGACTATCACTCTAGACAGCACGAGTTGTCTGTGAGATAGAGATAAACCATCAGTATATAGCGTAGAGGTAGCCCGCAGTACACAAAACGCAGATAGTTGTTGGCCCGATTCCAACCTTGAGAAATCCAGGCCGTCATGCCCGCAGGGGTCACACCAACAGAGTTGTTTAGAAGGCTAGAGATGCTGACAATAAAATATGCGTTCAATAACCTGTGCGATGCATGATGAAGTGGAAGTCATCCGCATTCCCCACGGATTTATTAATGCCGAGAACTTTATTATTTACCCTTTCCGATGAATCATATTTATCACAGGGATGAGCGTATATGAAAAATATCGCCATACACTCCACATATGTTGTGAAAGTGATTCCTAAACGCTGACAGCAACGTAGTTGTATTGTGAACGAGTTTTTTCACCATACTTGAGGTCTCGGAGTGTTCGGAAATGGGGCGATATATGGAAGAACTTACGAAAGAGGATACGTTAGAAACAAAAACTGCTGAACTTACGAGTGAAATATTTAGAAAGGACAGGCTATAAGATGAAATGTATAGCAATTTAGGAGGGCAAACCGACCAGCATGAGCTGATATCAAAACATAACGAGTGCGTTGGCGAGTGATTAGGCGTCAAATAGGTACGGTAAAGAAAATGAAAAGCTCTCTGCGTTGATCAATCCTTGAGGGATACGCCATGCATTCGACTTCATTAGGCATCGTTTTGAAGTGATTGAATGCATGTCTGGCCTTTACAATGACCCGGCGTTGCCTACCGATGTATCGCGCCAGTGCTGCTATCCTCCCAGACAAGTCTGATACCAATTTGCTGACCCCGGAGGGTTGGAAGGCTTGTTGGGCTATGTGCGCAGGGATCGAATCCACATGTGCGCTGCGCCTCCGACTATTGCGCCTAACGCGCCTTAGCTACGGTAACTAAACATATTTGGGTATCGCACTCTAAATGTTGTCACGTTAAATTTTAATGTTGCGTAACAATTTATGAGATTTGTTCAATGAACTCATCTCGTAATATCGGAGAGAACAAAAAAACTAGTAGCAACCACTCGTTATAGATCACAGTAGCCAACTTAAGTGTACAAGGTCATTGTTTCCTTTTGTAAGTAATTCTTCGGAGCTTTTTGTATGCAGCAAAATTTTGCAAACTTAGCCGAGTGCTAAAAGAAGAATTGCTGTGCTACGGAAGATGTACCGCCTCTTCTATAGTTTAGTCCCAAAACCATTATAACGGTGCATTGTACTTGTGTCTTATTGGTCAACGAACATTTCAATGATTTTTTACAAGCCGATGAACTGAGTAGTGTTTCTTTTTTTTATCATCGCAAACAGCTCACCAAGGGAATGGGGCCAATATTGCACCGGTGAACAATGCCAGCTCAAAAACTCATTTCGATCAGGAATGAATAATGTGTTAGTTCTTCCCAATTGTAACAAAGTTGTGTAGCCGTTTTAAATACAATTTCTCTTCAACTCTTCCTTCTCGTTATGGATTTCCATTCGTTCTCCCACAGATGACGAATTCTAGTTTGTAAATTCCAAATATGGGGCGTAGGATGCATGGGGCGGATAGCACAATAGTAGTGATGTCCGTCATCACGATCATGGTGCTAACTCGATTCCGCTCGGGGCCAACCAAGTCTTTCATCCCTCCGGGGTTGAGAGATTGGTACCGGACTTGTCTCGGAAAAATTCACTCTCTGCAATCCCATTGGGAACGCTCCAACTCAGTTATCTCAAGACTCTAGGGAGAATTGCTGGACCAGCATTCTACGGCATTCAAGATGAAATAAAAATCCTCAAGCAGCAACCGAATCCACACGTAAGGTTGGAAGGTCTTCGTGGGCAATGGATACGAGGAAACCAATTGAATGTGAGAAGTGTTGGGATCCGTACAGTATACGTGCCGACGGATCAAATAAAATAATAATCTTCTATTTTACTTTATGAAATGAACTAAAAAATATAGTGCAGAGATGGTGCAATGGTTGGTGTTGTAGTCCATCATTGGTGCAGTTCATCAGGAAGCAAGGTGTTGGTTCGGCCATCTCCCAACACTCTTCCCCAATCCACGTGGGAAAACCCTAGGTCGACTACCTCCAAGTTTGCAAGAAGAATCCATTCGATCATCATTCTACGACATTCATAAAAAAGAGGAAATCCTAAAGCAGCAGCCAAGCGAACAGGCGAAATGTTTGAAAACTTCTGTGGACGATGAATGCGAGCAAAACGAATGAAATGCGGGAAGTTCAAAGATCCGCTCCGTGGATGTGATTACCAGCTATGTAAAATTTAAAATAAAAGATCCAGTACGTTGCTGAGATATTTGCAAAACTCTGGACCGCAGGTGTCTATGGTGGGGAATGAACGCGCTGTTGTCCTTTCCGGGGAGTAACGCGTTCACCACCACACAATGCGGGTCCTTTGTTTCGCCTGTCTCTCAGCTATTTCTATCGATCTTTGCCACAGCAATCACCCGTCAGCGGGATTGATCTGGGAAAAGATCTAGTTATTCAAAGTCTATTCCTTGTTTAGCTGAGGCAGTAAACAATAGATGTGAAAAAAGAATAAATAAATAAATAATGAGTAAGTAAAGTTCTCTGCGTTGATCAATCCCTGAGGGATGCGCCATGCATTCGACTTCCTTAAGCATCATTAGAGGTGATTGAATGCTTATCGAACCTATACAATGACTCAGGGTGGCCTACAAATGTATCGAGTCAGTACGATTATCCTCCCATACGGGTCTACTACCCATTTGGCAACATCGGAGAGATAAAGGGTTCGGTGGGTTTGTAACGCAGGAACAAATCTATATATATTGCTGGGCACCTCTAACCACTGCGCTGCACGGGCCTCATGGAAAAAAAGGAACACATGGAGATAATCGTGAAACATACTTTGGCAATCTTATTTCAAGCGACGTACATTTGCTCAGTGAAACCCACTCACTCTTAGCTGTATGGTTTTTGTTTTCATACCACATTATTTCCTCCCAACAGTTTACTGCCTCATCGTGGCTGGGAGGTATTCTTGGGTGTCGGACTGCGATGTACAGCGGTGGGATTCATCCCTCTGGCAAGGTCTCCCGAGCTGAGAAGCAGTCCGGCGTTTCCATCAGGAAGCCTAGCTAAGAGTAAAACAATACCAGGATCAACCACCGTCCTGGTATCAAAGTCGCATGGTGGTAAATCTCCCTCTAATCCACAAGGGCTGCGACTGCCTGCCGTGGTGATGAACGACCTGGGGTAGACTTTGGCCAGGCTGATCTCGGGATTCCGGAGAACCACAATGGCTTAACCAGCAAATCTTCGAAAAATGGAGACTATGCTGGAGTCCGCATAACCAGTGAGGACGGGCCGCTCAAGTATCAAGTACCACATTATTTTGTTCTTATCTATATATGTAACCAGTGAAACTTTACAATTTGTTGATAATGCTGTTTTTCCCCAATGAGTTCGTTCAGGAATTCATGTCTTCTACATTCTTTTCATGTAACTGCAAAGTTTCCAGAGGATTTCTGAGACAGACAGAAATCTGAACTGGTCCAGTAGAGGAGTCAAAAGAGAAAAAAGTCTCTACGTTCAAGAAACAGAGAAAAAATCGGATATGAAATCACCTCTAAAAGTTTCCTCTCAGCCAAAAATCACAGTCACCTTTCACGTATCCCCGTCAGAACTACCTCAACCACATGGACATCGGATCGATCGCAGATGCTGTTTGGCTGGATTGTAGAGTGCCAACTAGCCGCTCACAGAATCCGTTTGTTTACGCTGATGAAAAGAACAACAATGAGGGAAAAATCAATGACCAGCGACTCGTCGACAACGTTCTCGGCGACCAGATGCGACGATGTGGGAGCGAAGATGTTTCGTCCAGCTGGACGTCCGTCCAGCTTTCATCGACACTCATTGTGCCTCCGGTTGCCACTACGACTCGTCACCTCCCGCACCTATTGATCGATTTCTCGATCGATCAACACGGACGGAACGGAGCGCCGCTGTCGAATGGAGCGCGCGGGCGTCGACCGAATGATAAAGCCGCTGCTCTCAGTGAACACACTCTGCTCGCAGAGGGTGCCCGGACTTCATCCATTCAGTCCGGTATTTTAAGTCGGAAGTGTCATTGCTAAGAGATTTCTTTAATGTCACAGAACTCATCTGCCATTGCAACGTTGATCCCTTCGATAAAAATCCAGTAACTACTGACTTTCCTTTAACCTCGCCATGACTAGTCAATATGTATTCTTTCATTGATAAGCTAACATGAGGTTTATAGGGAAGTCTACCTTCTTCCTCGGCTGTGAGGAAGACCGAGAAGTCGAAACGTTAGCAGAATGAACCTCACTGCCAACCTCATGTTAGCTTATCAATGAAGGAATACATGGTCGTTTTCGTTTTCCAAATAGACCCGTGCAAACTACAAACCCTTCTTTTAAATTAATCGTTGTTGATATCCACCTGTTCTATTCCACTCTGGATTGTTTGTCAAATGGTCGTGACGACTTATACGCGATGCTGTTTAACTCCCCAACTTCAAGCAGCTTCGAAACATCATTGAACAACAGGGGACCACGAAAATTCTTCATGAAATCCTCCATCGATTTTCTTGTTTCTATAGTTTTTATGGGTCTCAGTATTGATTCCGATTTCTTCCAACTGTTTAGGAGTTTTCAGTAGCATTCAATACTAACTAGTTATTCCATATTAGCTCGTTAGGTTAGGAATACGTCCATTACTCCCATTGTCGAGGTCTACAGTGATCTTTCTCTGGACGGTTTTCCCGCTTTGTCACAGAGTGTCTTAACGTTGAATTTATGCTTGTAGTATGATAAGTTCAATGAGAACTACTGTAGACATTCTTACTGATTTTATGCAGATGAGCTATATTCGCATTACGTTTACTACTACTTTATACACTTGGGGACCACTCACGCGGTGTCAAAATAACGGCCCCGTTTAAATTTTATACTAACATATCCCAGCTCGTAGTAAACTTTATTGATTTCAATGAAGTGCATTAGAATCTGCAAACCTTTACCTGCAGGATCTTTCTCGTTTTACGATGAGGAGATTCTGATTTTCTGGAGCTCACCGAATACACTCTTGTGCACTTTTTGTCGTCCGGGTTCGTGTTTCGAAAATGAAAGCAGTCAAACAAACGCTGTTTTGTCCAAGAGAAGACGTTAATGTTCATGGTAGCTGGGATTTCGTTTGTAATTTTAAAAATTTAAATTCCGTCCTACTTAGGAAATTCGATTTCTAAGCAAGTTTAAAAATAATATAAGTCTTAAAGAGCCACAAGTATCCTTAAATAGGCATGGGAAAACAATAATCTCACTAACCTCGTGTTAGCTGAACAACCCGAAGAGATATCGATCACTACTATTTCTTTATTTTATTTATATGACCCGTCGTCACGTCTACTGTGCGGTTCCCAGCACTTCTCACATTGTATTCGTTTCCTCGGATCCATTCTTCACGGAGATATTCCAACTTTACGTGTGACTTCAGTTGCTGCTTGAGGATTTTCATTTCATCTTGAATGTCATAGAATAGTAGCCGAGCAACTCTCCCTGGAATTCTGAGATGGCCAGGCTGGAGCGTTCCCAGTTGGATTGCAGAGGCTGTTCTTTTCTCAGAGAAGTACGATAAATTGCCCGACCTCGTAGGGATAAGAGGTTTGGTTGGCCTGGGGCATAATCGAGCTAGTACCATGCTCGTGATGACGGGCGTCACTAACACTGTGCTATCCGCTCCCTCGATTACTACTGTCGAGCTTAAATGACGGACGGTTCAAAATTTGTTGCTTTGGTATTCGTTATGTGCTGGCTAACATAACACCGACTGCTGCAAGATGGATTGACCGTTGAAAAACAAGTTGTAGTCAACGGATAGTGGTAATCCATAATAAACATCCCCTACAGAAGTGCACTGGTTGGAGAGATTGCCTCATTACAGCGGTGCTGCTGTGATGCACTGAAGAACATCCGACTTGCTACGACGACGAAGGTGCCACATCGAGAAGACAAATGGCTGTGGGCCATCGACTCGGATCGTCGGCTCTGAGGAAGGCGAAGACGTTGAAACGGTAACCGAATACATCTCCTTATCAACCTCATGTTAGCTCAAAAATCTGAGAACGTATAGTAAAGTCTCTTCGACAAGCTGATCATTTCAAATATCCTAGTTATTGATTTTCTAAAATCCAGCTTTGGTCCCAGAGTGTTAATAACGCAGCGTTAGTCTCAAATTGAAATGCCCTTGTTGCTAACAGAACTATCCGGGCGTGGTTTTATAGCAAAAAGTGACAAAGAAGGGCTAATATTAACTGGCACGAGTGAAACTAGTATACTTGCAAATTATGAGACTAACGGTTTTTATTTCTATGACCCGTCACTGTGGTTTGTAATTTAGCTCGAAAATGTAGTACTTGCATTTATTACATTGGTTTAGTCCGCGTAAGTGAGCGATGCCGAACTAGACTGCGATGGTGAAAACCTAGTAAAAGAGCTGATGACATGGATAGTTCATATACGTCTCATAGTGTCCGAATATTTGGCGCTTCTTCTACCAACCGCTAATTTTCATATTTAGATTTTTTTCGTGAATTTTTGTCCGTTCTCTATAAACCTTCAGTTGACTGGCATTCTTAGCATGCAACTCTCGTCCTAACCACATTTCTGCTCAAAATTCACCCTTGTCGCCACTTCACGTCCAGTCTTTCACAAGAGCGACTCATCAAATATGTTTAAATTCAAAAAAAAGAGATAAATTTCTATTTCTTACAGCAGTCCTTATCAAGGAGTGCTGAAAAAATACTTTATTCAACACGCTGGCTGACTTTTCGGCGGTTTCGCTAAGCCTGAAAAGGTCAAATCGACACGCGGTCGACTCACTCAAACGCTTTGGCATGCCTCATCAAGAATTCATCATATCAATGATGAAGGCAACAGTAATCGTGCCCTTTCTGAAAAAAAACAGTAATGTTTTTGAAACCATAAAAATGGCATTCTTTCCATACTGTTATCAATGCATAATGTCGGAACTTGTGCGAGTTTAATGTTTTACTGTTGTCAAGCCCAATGATCGCAGATGGGACCACCGAAATTTCCTGCCTTGATATGGATTGATAGCAGAAAAGTTCTACCCAACCTTTCCGTCCTACCGTCCCTATCCCGTACCCTAATATCTCTATTGAGGGAAAACCACCTGTAATTCTGCTGTCGGAGGTTCGAGTTACGGTGGAAAGTATGGAAAAATACATAGCTCTAGGACCCGAAATTCCACCGCCGACTTTCTTAGATCTGGAAGCAAAAATTTACATATACTTCTGGCAACCCATATGACATCCTTCCTGCAAAAAGAAAAAAAACGCCAAACCAGTGGAAGATATTGCCCACGGTCATCCTTCCCAATAAAAGTGATGGAAGGGATCTTCAAGACTATCGTCCAATATGCTTGTTGAATGTACTATGCAAGCTGTTCATGAAGATTATTCTTCCGTGCATACAAAGGGCATTGAATGTGGCGCAGCCAGCCGAATAAGCGAGATTTCGGCACGGATTCTGCTCCGTGCGCCATATCCAAACTGTATCGAGAGTCACAGATGTTTGTCGGAAATATCACATAATTCTACTCAGGGCTTTTGTCAACTTTGAAAAAGAGGTTATCAGCGCCCATCGACCAACAAGTTGACTCATTCTACATAAGAACTCTATCTGAATATTATCGGAACTGAACCACGAAAATACGATGTTTTCATTAACGTGTTGCCATATCTATGTGAAAAGGGGTTCGATAGTGCGACGCTATATCGTCAAAGCTGTTTAGTGCCGCATCGCAGTGGTTAGTGAAGACATTCGATTGGAATGAGATAGGCATACGTACTAATGGAAAATTCCTATCAGGTCATCGTTTTGCTGACGATATTGTTATCTTCTCAAGAAATACCACCGAAGCACGGGCGAGCTCGACCAATTAGGAAAAAAGATCAAACTACATGTAAATCGAAAAAAGGCCCAGTTAATGAAAAGCTCATGGTGCGAAGGCGAACAAATCAAACTGGGTGGTTTCGTGACTACAAAGACCATCTCTTACGTGTATATTGGGCGTTAAATGGATGTCGAGAGCATCATGAAGGATGAATTAGACAGAAGAAAGAGAGCAGCATGGCGGAATTCGCGCCTTTCAAAGAAGTCACCAACCAACTAAAGAACCCAAAAATCCAAGACCACTTCGTTGGTACTTCAACTGCGTCAAGAATACTTCGCCCTATTAGCAGAGGGTATGAGCGATGTGCTCTGAAATATAACCCTCACACACAATATTTAGCCGAAATGCGAAGCTCTGATCTTTGAAATCTATCTCATCTTCGAGATCCAGGAAAACAGACATCGATACTATAACAAAAATGGACTGATCATGTGATGAGACAGCAGAGGACAGATAGGCGAAAGAAACTACAGGGTGGATTCCACGAGGCTGCAAATGTTCCCTAGGTCGGTCGACCACCTACCTACACGTTGGGCAGATGTGTTCGTAACTAAAGTCAAACAGCTGTACTCGTAGCTGCGGTTGTTTTCCAGATTACTGTATGAGACTTGCACGAGACGCCATGATGGAATCAAACCACGACCATGGACGACGATTTTGAGGCGAAGAAACTAGTGGAAATGTGCAGAGTCCGCACAACTCGTGAAGACGGGCCGTCGATGTATCCAAGTAAGTATTATCAACAGACAATTGGTCAATCAGCAACTGACCTGCATAAAAGTACGTTGCGGAGTGATGTTACCTCATTCGGATCGTGCTTTATTTCGAAAGATTCCATACGATCTGATTACGAAGATCCATACTGTGAGGACGAATATTTGTGGACAATCGACTCGAAGCGGTCCGGGTCCGATGAAGATGAAAATATCGAAAGGTTAGCCGAGTAAAGTTTGTTATTAGTCTGGTACTAGCTTATCAATGGAGAAGGTAGGCATGAATATGATAATTTAAATTCTTAAGCCAACACGGTATGGAAGAACGTACCATCAGTATTTGCGAGTAGTTGACGTCGAACACACTCCGGAGTTTTGGAAAGCTTTTCATAGAGCGTTTCTTCTACTCTCTAGGTCAACATTCTCCATATTCGCCTTCTGTCTGCTTTCACCTTCAACAAATGCGATTGTTTTACAGCAAACTACAAAACCTCATCAGGAGATAGTGAAAACTTGGCATTGTATATTCGAACGTATTGGAATCGTCTCTCGCGTTTGAGGCTCAAACCCTCAGAGGTGGTTTTGAGCCATGTTCTGGAGCTCTTTGATTACACATCTGTTTATTGCTCATTGCTTTGCGAATTACAGTTCGGAATCCTATACAGGTCGTTGGATAATACAAGTGTTGGCGAATATAGATATTCGTATTAGTCGTTTCGTTTATTCAAGACTTGAGGTTACAAAAAAAGCTCTCTGTTTTTTCCATGAATATCCATCAAACATTTGGTAACAAACCCCCTTTTTCAACCATATGAAGTGGTGCCGTGAGAGAAGGCGTGTGGTTCATTCAATAGTGAAATCGCGGAACTTAGAAGGGAGTTCTTTTAAAAGAGAGGTCCTTAAAAAGGAATCAGAAAGCAGAGAAAGTGTCTTAGTCACTGTGCGCTAGTGCGATCCTTCAGTAACAGCTTTACTTTCGAGATTTTGATACTTTCTTATTGGGAAACTCATTTCTCGCGACTTATTACGTTCAATAGTATTGATTTAAAATATCACCCAATCTTTGCTTCTTGCACCTGACATCTGTCGTATAGAACCGTAGTTGATGAGTTGCACTACGTAGTCTGGCTAACATCAAGGAAACTCTTACGTTAAAATATTCATCGTTTGTTAACTATCAGTACGGCAGAACAGTTATGTTATGGAGCAGCCAGATGACAAATTTTTAACAGGTGATGTAACTTCTTTTTTTTCAGGGGCTTTTCTATATGCTCGTTACTCATTGAGGCCTACATGAGTCACCTGTAGCTCATAGATGTTTGAGAGTCATTATGCTTACCCACTTTAACACATTTGCGCCTTTGCTGGATATTCCCAGGTTTTCACCATCACAGGCAGTCGAGGCTCTTGTGGATGAGAAGGAGGTTTACCACCATGCGACTAGTTTCATACCAAGACGGTGGTGGATCGTGGTATTGGTATACCAGTTAGATGGTAGAGTATATGTGATTAAAGCGATAAAGCAAAGTCTTTCCTATAAATCTTCAAAGTCTTAATCGTTTTATTTACTGCCTACTCTTTTTTTTAGTGGCAGTGTATATTGCAAAATATAACTTAAGTAATGCTGAGATATTTGCAAAACGCCGGACCGCAGATGTTGGGGAACGAACGCGCTAATGTCCTTTCCGGGGAGTAACGCGTTCACCACCACTCCATGCAGATCCTTCGTTTCGCCTCTCTCTCAGCTATTTCTATCGATCTTTGCCACAGCAATCACCCGTCAGCGGGATTGATCTGGGGAGCCAAAATCGGCATTGGCAATCGGCATTATAACTAAATAGTTTTGCAAATATCTCAGCATTATATTTCAGCATGGTTATTGACAAGGTGTTCATGTGTGGCTCAAGGCCCTAATTCATGTGGGATTAGCCAAATTTGGAATATAGAAATCCTCATTCTCTCATATAAGGAGCGCGGGTAGCACAGTAGTGGAGATACAGTTTAATGCGCTATTGGCTACGGTTCGACTTAACAAACCAAGCCTGAGTTACACCCACCAATCTAAAGGTTTCGTGGATCGCAGATGCGGGTGAACGAACTGAATGGTATCAGTGCTGGGACCCAGACAGTAAGTCATGATTGGTCATGTAAAAAAATAATATTCTCCTATATAAGACGCTCTTTAGAAGTCTGAATTTGGGATTCCTCCCTCGAAAGGAATCAGTTAGTAGCTTATAACTCAAATTCGCAATTGTCATTAAGTCTTAACCACTACGAAAAAATTCATCGAATGAAACCTTTCGCTACATATGGGAAGCGAAAACGTCTTTGGAAGGATTTAAATTTACGTAGGACTCCCACGTGCACTTCTCCCAGGATGAAAAAGCTGGCAATAATGTATGGATATCGACAGGATGTATGAATTAAATGAGACTTAAGCATCGTCCATACTTAACGGACCTACGAGGACACTGTTGACAGCAGGAGAATGATTATAAGCAGAACGTATACCTAACCATTTCGTCCAGACTAGAACGTTAACGGTCTTTAGATTTCAGAGCTGCATAGCTCAAGAGTTTCGAAATTTTTTGAACCATAGGACTTTCTGCGTTAACAATATCCGAGCCTAAATTCCTAACCTTATTGAAGAAATTTTTTCAAGTGTTCTTATTTTCTATCTTAAACACCCTATGTAGCACGTATGTCGAGATAGGAAATGAGGTCCTGTTCACCAGTATCCCTTAATAGACCAACTATTTTGCGATTATAATGGAAACGTTCTCAACTTTGGATTATTTCAAGCGGGAAGTCCAGTTAAGGCAAATCTAGTTCGTCAGTTACAGCTTCAGAAATTCTTATAAACTACGCACTTATCAGTACTGAAGATGGAACCGTCAATGCTTTGCTGCCTAATTGTGGTCAGAAAGCCCTGCGCTGTACAGGCTCCATCCACCTCTGCGTCATAAGCGACCAGCATATCTACCCGAAACCCTGGTCAATATTAAAGGAAATCCTGAAATTCTGTGTCCCGAAAGAAAAGTAGTTGCAAGGACTGATGGCTACCTGTAGTGATGCCCACGCAAATAGCGTATTATGGATTTCCTACACGAAAAAAGATCTAAAATAGGCAACAAAACATGTCATCTGGAAATTTTGCTGGAATTTGTTTGACTGCTCGCAGATCATTTCATCACTTGGAAAACCAAATTGAATGTCTCATTACAAACCGCATTTTTCAACCCTCTTCGGCACTAATAGTAGTAGAAAAGGTGAAAAATTGTCCGTTTGTGTACAAGCAATCATAACTAGACCGCTAATATAACTCTGATAAAAATAGAGCAAAAGGGACGAACCGCAATGATGCTGAGATGTTTGCAAGACTCCGAACCGCAGGTGTACGCGGTGGGGAACGAACGCGCTAATGTCCTTTCCGGGGAGTAACGCGTTCACCACCACTCCATGCAGATCCTTCGTTTCGCCTCTCTCTCAGTTATTTCTATCGATCTTTGCCACAGCAATCACTCGTCAGCGGGTTTGATCTGGGGAGCTAGTTAAACCCAGCTCATAAAAAGGTAGTCGAAAGCAGATAAAAATCGGAAGCGTCAGAGTGGGAGAACCATTAGATAATGACTCTACTGCTATGACTCTAGACTATACTCTACTGCTGAATATAGCCTCGGCTTTACTGGGCTCGTTACCGATTTGGGCTTCTCAGATCAATCCAGCCAACGGGTGATTGCTGATGGCGAAAGATCGATAGAACTGAGTGACAGGCGAAACGATGGACCCGCGTGGTGTGGTAGTGAACGCGTTACTCTCCGGAAACGACAATAGCGCGTTTGTTCCCCACCGCAGACAACTGCGATCCGGAGTTTTGCAAATATCTCAGCATTATAATAACTATAGTGTTTGTTAACCTGTAATGGGCGCGTGGTCTTTAGCTCAGATATGCCCCGCGATTTATGAGCAGTTTTCCGTTGGTGGAGGGTTTTCTGATTTTTTGACAATAAAAAGTACCATTGTTGTAAACCGACTTTCATTTAACCTTGGTGTAAGTGTAAGTGTGTTCATTGTACCTTATTTCATTGAGCTAACAGAAGGCTGTTACCAAATATTGATTAGGCTAACGTTCCAACGTCTTCATCTTAATGAGAGCCGTGTCAGAGTGTGGTTGCCTCATTCGAACGGTACTCCGCCGGAGAGGATTCGATTCGGTACGACGACGAAAACACCAAGTCGAGAAGACGAACGGCTGTGGATCGTCGACTCGGATCATTGGCTCTGAGGAAGACGAAGACGTCGAAACGCTAGCCTAATACATGTGTAACGACCTCGCGTTAGGAAGCAGTGTACATAAAAAGTAGTATTTTAACAACTAAAGGTGCCCTGTCGTTCCATGGGTGTAAATGATCTGTATGCTAGTATTTACTGTGTGTTGCTTTGGTCGATTATCGAAATACAATGTCGTCAGAGCTTTGGTGTATTTTGCACCCTTTGTTAATGTTTAATGTATTTAGATTTTTTTAAAATATCTACATATTCCATGCATTGACATTGCGATTAAAATGAAATAACAGTTAATTGCTAGTCAAATTAACGGTCAACGATTTTTCTGGAGGAAAGGTTTTCTGTAAATCATTAAGCGCCAGAGAATAGCCCTTCTACTATCGCTCAGACTAATTCGATCTGCTTTCTATTAGCTATCGAATAAGTGTACATAGTGCGATAGAAACATTGTGGAATGCACTAAACTAAAAACGGACAGCCTGGTTTCCACATCGTCCTCAAGGCCAGAGACCTACGGACACTCCAGTGTCCATACTGGCCGTTTTGGGCTAAATGTGCTGAAGACGGACATGGAATGGCATATACCGTTATGAGGCATAGATTGCCGTTCCAAATCATTCCCACTGTGTGGATCAATATGTCTGTCCAATGGCCCTTTAATTCATCGTGTGTGTTGTGGCGGAAAAGTAAACGTGGAGAGAGACAAAGGGCAATATTAATCGGAATCGCCTCCTCTAATGCAGTCGGCCGTCATTCAGCATCCAAACACCAGTTTGACGCGTAGGATTCGGATGTGATGTGAGCAGTTAGCATTCTGAGCCTAGTAACCCCAACGACCAGTCTGAAAGCGATTGTATACCCATTCTTGATTCTTCCATCTAACATAACTGTAACAGGAGCAACTAATGTGCCGTCGATGCTCTTTTCTGGTTTTTACGATTCATCAA